TTTACGCAAACATTATGTTTTTACACGATACAGTTTTTGGCGTTTAACAACAATCACAAAAATAGTTTATATCATTTTGTATTTAATCAAATTTTTTTATTTCTCAGCGTTTTATGAAATATGGTTTCTCGATCAAAATTATAATATATATTTATTATCAAATTTATAAAATCATATTTTATAAAATGCTCTGGTAGCTCCCTCCTCTTCTGTTTATCAATTTTTATAACCCGCAATCGCTCACTTTCAAAAACGCTCTGTAACCGCAACATTTAAACCAGTCGGATCCTAAACTTATGATTTAAGTTGTAAAATAATATATTTAATATTTAACTGTTATATTAAAAATTAAGAGTTTTTCTGTTTTTAAACTTTAATATATGTGTTAATTAATATGTATAAAGTAATATTTTTTAATATTTCAAATAAAAACATAAAATCGATCAAAAATTATTCTTTTTTATTAATTTTATCTTCTTTGACTTGTATTTTTTATTTTTTAACCTTTAAACATTAAAAAGATCTCTGATGTATATTTCTATTTTTTTCCTTTAAAATATAAGTAGATTTCTCTCTAACCTATATCTATTTTACAGAAAAAGGAAAGATTGTTACTTTTTTCTTTCAATTATAGAGGAAAAAATATCTTTGTTTTTTCTCTAAATTATAATATTTAAGATAAATGTGGGTTGGAGATGTTTTAAACCAAAAATATAGCCTGAAATATTTACAGAATATCAAAGTCGTAAAAAAATATTTTTACTTCTTACTCATATATACAATATTATAAAAAAAAAGTTTGCTAAAGGAATGTTTGTAATTTATTTTTCTTTCCGTTTATCTTTTATTTTATTTATAATTTTGAATTCTTGCATATACAATATATGTGTATTGGACATACATATATTCGAAGTGAAAGTTATGTGTTTTAAAGAATGGAGAGAAAGAGATCATGTACTTTTAAGATTGGGACTGTGAGTACGGAAATCGATTATCATTTCGATTTATACAATAAAATAAGATTGAGATCAAAGCTTGTTTACTCATAATTCTTGAGGTGAGTGGAAAAGAAGAGAAAAGTGATTTGATTAGATGATTCTTCCTTTGATGTTATGCTTTTTTAAATCATATGTGTTGAACCAGAAAATCACCATTAGGGTTTGATTAACAGTTGTGGGTTTCGAAGAATAAGATCTTTTATTAATAGTAAGAAAGCGTAGCAATTACAAAGAAAAGTATAACTGAGAGGTTATGCCGAAGTGAAAAGAAGGTTTGCAAAGTAAACTAGAAAGCATTGGAGTCTCTGTTTTTAGCTCTGCTGCTCTCTAGATTGTATGAGTTGTCCTTCCAGGCTTCGGGGTCTCTGTATTTATAGGGATAGGAGGTCGGTTGCTCCGAGCTCCTTTTCCTTTTTGCCTTCTTGAATGTTTCCGTATCTACGATATGGAAATATCTCTTATTCTCCGAAGAATATGTAAATTCTCCTTTATCCTTTGGTAAATCTGATATTTTCGGTCTTCCATAATTGTCTTTTAAGAGTTTTCCTTTAATCCGAGCTAGGTCGGCATGGTCTTCCTGGTCTTGATGGGCTTAGGTTATTGTGAAAAAGGCCTTTTTAGGAAATTTGCTCATTTCCCCTCTAACAGTAAGTCCCTCCCAGTTCGGCGAAACTGTTGTAAATCAGATCGGCGGACTTTATGAAGTTATAGATGGGTTTGACCTCGCAATAACTGTTAGTTCGTCAAGAGCGTTGCTTTTCGCAATAGCCAGTTCGGCTAAATTTTTTTAGCGGATTTTTTTCACGCGGCGCTTTTTATTTATTAAATACTCTGACCCATTAGAGTTTCTACTTTTCAGCGGGAAATGCGAAGGGTTCGCCAGACGGCAAGATTGTAAAAATCTTGACACGCGTCTTCTTAGAAAACTGTTGATATTTCCTTCTGATTTTATTTACTTTACTTTTACCTCTTCATCTTCTTGCTTTCAGAAAATCTTTGTCTTGCTTTCAGAAAATCTTTATAGCGATTCGCCTATTTTTCCGAAGCTTTTTTATCTCATTCAAAAATTCCAAAGATGTATGCTGCTTCCTCGCATTCTTCTTTTGATGATGACGAGATTTGTCTCGCCGACCGTGCCAAGCGGGCCTGGATTAGTCCAGTTGCTTCTACTTCTTCCATTTCCGAGGGTTCTTCAGACTATCGGGATGAGATTCCGTCGGATCATCCCGATGCGGACTCCGAAGTGGATTTGGACGGTTCTGGGCCTTCGAACTTTGAATCGGAGATCAGGGTCGAGGGTCTCCTTGAAAAGATTGCAATGTCGCCGCACAGGACCGGCGTTAAAGACGGAAGGACTTGGATGACCGCGGAAAGGCTCGAGGAGCTTCGTTTGAAGTGCGGTTTTCCCGGCGAGGTCGAACTGCTGCTTCCGCAAGTTCACGAGAGAGTGACCACACCCCCAGAGGGCTATTTCTGTTTATACGAGTGTCATTTCGCGGAGTTCGGCCTTCAGTTCCCGATCTCGTTGCTTCTCCGTTATTGTGAACGGAGGAAGATGCCGGTGGCGCAGCTTACTCATGCCGTAATCCATCACTTCAATAGCTTGGCGGCGGTGGCTCGTGCAGCTATGGTCCCTTTCAACTGGGACATTTTCGAGAGGGTATCCATCCTGAAGAGAAGAAGGGTGAATCGTGGTGGATGGCGCCATTTTTACACCATGATGAAGGAGGAGATCATAGGTGGTGATCCGACGAGCAAAGTCCTCGAATGGGACCGGTATTTCTTCTTTGTGAAGATTAATGAAGCATCCATCGGTGGTTCCGATCTTACCCTCTTCAGAGCTTGGAGATCGGCGCCATGTAAGAAGAATATTGATTTTTATTTTTTTACCTTGTGTGAAGACTTGCTGAGTACTAATGCATTTTCGTCGTTGTAGTGGAAATACGTCTGGGAGAGGATCCAATCGGGTTTGACGAAGACGTCAAGAGACTACGCGACCTGAGCCGGAAGTTATGGGCCGAAAAGGAGAAGAAATGGGCTGCTAGACAGAAGGCGGTTAAGCCTTCCGAGAAGAAGGCCAAACCCTCGAAAGCAGGTAGGTTGTTAAATTAAAACATTATTGACTGGTTGGCGATTTTATTAACGCGTTTATTATTTTAGCTTCACGAGGGGTCTTGCAGCCGAAGCCTGCAGAGACTGGTCGGAGGAAGAGGAAGGCGACTTTGGCCGATGCGCCTGTGAGTACTTCTGCAAAGAGGAAGAAGACTTCCCAGGATCCACCCAGCTTGGTGGATTCAGATGATGCCGAAGTGGCTGCTGAGTCCGAGACTATGGCGAGGTAAATTTTTTTTTTTTTTTTGGCTTTGCGTGTTATTATATTATGCCGAAGAGATTTCTAACGCCATATTGCTTTTGCATTTTTCCCTCCTTACTTTTTATTTTTAAAGTTTCTTTAGAGCGGCGGCGCTGGAGAGATTGAGACGGATGCGGGCTGAGAAAGCCGCAAGGGGTTCGCAGGGTGAGGCGTCCTATACTCCCATCTCTCAAGTTGCGGATAGAGAGGGTGCTTCAGATGCTTCCGGGAGCCGTCGCGAGGTTGTTTTCCCTTCAGTCGATGCTCCATTGTCGCCTCATGTGGACGTTCATTCACCGTCTCGGACAGGTGTGTCTCAAAGTCCTGAGACACATGTCATAGAAGATGTAGGTCGGGAGAGGACCGAGGGGCCCAACACAACTGATTCTGTAGGGCCGAACCCTTCCGAGGTTGCCCTTCCGGAGGAGGCTGCTCAAGAGGCTGCAGGTGGTGCCGAGCCAAGTGTACCGGTCGAACCTAAGCAGGAGGAAGAGTCTTTTGACTATAATCCTCATCATTTTGTGTGAGCTGGGATGGGAATACTCCGGCGATGGTTGATCGCAAATTCGTCGCAGACTTGATCTGGAAGTGCAGGGAGAAGCCGCGATGGGGTAAGCCGCTACAAGAGTTGAAGCTAGCGAGCTTGATCTCTTTGGCGAGCCAATTAATAGCTCGGGTAATTTTATTTATCCGACGATTGTGTTGTTTCACCTTTTTCCTGTCTTTGGTGCGTTTCTGATAGCCGATTATAATACAGGGTTTGGGAAAGTATATGTCCGCGTTTGCTGCGTATGATGAAAACTGGTGCGAAGAAGAAGCGATGGTGAACGCTGCGTCTTCCAAGATCAAGGAGCTTAAAAAGGCGGAGGAAGAAAATCGGCTTCTCAAGGATCGGTGCGCTCAGCTGGAAGGCGCCGTTGACACTTTCAAGGACGAGGTGTCCAAAGCTAACCGACTTCGTAAGCAGGTTGCCGCTCTCCAGGCTCAAAATGAGCTTCTCAAGAAACGGAACGAAGAAAGTTTGCGAGGATTTCTCACCGAGAAAGAGAAGCTTCAAAAGGCTTGCGAGGAAGCTGCTCGAGATGCTGCCAACAAAGTTTTTGATTAACAGTTGTGGGTTTTGGAGAATAAGATCTTTTATTAATAGTAAGAAAATGTAGCAATTACAAAGAAAAGTATAACCGAGAGGTTATGCCGAAGTGAATAGAAGGTTTGCGAAGTAAATTAGAAAGCGTTGGAGTCTCTGTTTTTAGCTCTGCTGCTCTCTAGATTGTATGAGTTGTCCTTCCAGGCTTCGGGGTCTCTGTATTTATAGGGATAGGAGGTCGGTTGCTCCGAGCTCTTTTTCCTTTTTGCCTTCTTGAATGTTTCCGTATCTACGATATGGAAATATCTCTTATTCTCCGAAGAATATGGAAATTCTCCTTTATCCTTTGGTAAATCCGATGTTTCCGGTCTTCCATAATTGTCTTTTAAGAGTTTTTCTTTAATCCCAGCTAGGTCGTGGTTTTCCTAGTCTTGATAAACTTATATTATTACGAGGAAAGCGTTTTTAGGAAATGTGCTCATTTCCCCTCTAACAATATATTTTTTTTTTTCATGCTACTGTGTTATGCTAAGAAGCCCTTACCTTAATAATGCAAATACCAATGTACAAGTACAATGCATCGCTTATTGTAAACCAAAGAATGTAACGATCAAATCCTTGTGAGGATCGATAAAATATCTATTCGCAAGTTAGCAATTATCAAATACTAACCGAAAAGCCTTAAAAACACATCAGCTAAACAAATCTAAAACTTGCATTTACATTGGAATTTCTATCCTCTGGATCAAATCTTTCATTATGTTATTTTTGAAAGAAAATATTAAAAAATGTTTTCTTCAGTTGATGATCACATGCCCAAAGATACAAAGCTGAGAAACCGAATGAATCTGATTCATGAAGTAGCACCACCGAGAAGAGGATGCTGCAAAATCAGTTTGAGACTCTCTGCCTTGGAACCACCATTTTGGTATTCTGGCCGAGGCTTTGTTCCTCGCTCACTAGTCGAACAATGAGTGTGAAGAGGTGTAAGTCAGGTTTTGGAGGATACCTCTAGATGTTAATTATGGTAAATTTTAGTTGTGTGATTATTTTTGCTTTTTTTATTTACTTACCTTTCGTCTAAATTTGTTAAAACCATAGGTGAATTATTTTGTTTCTGCTTTTTTTTCTTTCTTCTTTTTGTATTTTGTCCCGAAATTCTCCTTTTTCTTTCATTAATAAAACAGAGAAAATAATTACAAAAAAAAATTACAGAAGATAAAAGGAAGAAGGTTAACACGATAAGAAAAAGATAAAAGGAAAACAAACAAAAAAGTAGAACAAAACGACCATCCTGAATAACTCTTGCCTGTTTTCGTTCTTTATAGAAACTCTTCTTTCGAATTCCCTCGTCGTCACCGAATCAAGCTTCTTCCTCCATCTTCTGTTAGAAGGATCGTGTCTTGGCATCATCAATTCATCATCCTGAATAGCTCTTGCCTGTTCTAAAGGAATCTTATTCAATATATTAAAGATTTAAATAGGGTACTAAGCAGGCCAGATAAGAAGAAGCAATCGTCTTTGATCACGTTACTTCCCGAAGACGTCATCGTTGACATCATAGCGCGTGTACCGAGATGTGACTATCCAACACTCTCCCTCGTTTCTAAGCACTTCCGGTCACTCGTTGCTTCCCCCGAGTTATACGCGAGGCGATCTTTGTTAAGTTGCACCACCGAGCACCGTCTCTATGTTGCCCTCTATACTAATAAACCCTATTATCGCCGTTTGTATATTCTTCGCCGGAAAGCCAACGGCAACAACCGCCTGGTCCTTATCCCTTCGCTGCCTGCCATGCCTCATGCTAAACTTATTGTCGCCGTGGGCTCGAGGATATATATGTTTGGTGGGAAGGACATTAGGAGCGTGAGTGCGTCAACCATCGACTGTAGATCTCACACAGTGCAACCCCTCCCGAGCATGCCTGTGCCCATGCGTAATTTGAGAGCTGACACCATCGACGGGAGAATATATGTAATTGGATGGGATGATGACCAGAGGAAGGTGATGGTGGTGTTCAATACAGAAACACAAAAGTGGGAGGAGCCTGTGAAGATACGGCCAAACATTGACATGTCGCATGGTTTTGTGGTGATGGCTGGTAAGCTGTATACGAGGAATTATAACAGCTTTGTTTACGATCCAAAGGAAAATAAATAGGAAATGCAAGTGATACCTCTAGATATACCGGACTGGAGGAATGCGTGTGTGTCGTTGATGACGTATTGTACTACTTTGATTGTAATGAGAATAGGTTAAGAAGGTATGATCCAAAGCAGAGGTGTTGGGGAGTGGTGAAAGGTGTGGAAGATTTGGTGGCTGAGATAAGACATGTATGGCAGATACGGCCTGTAGGTCACGGTGGGAGAATGGCTTGGTTTTTTGATAAAAAAGGAGAACCAGGAATGCGTAAGATTCGGTGTATGGAGATTTCGCTGGAAAGACGTCAAGGTGGAGAGATTTGGGGTCAACTTGAGTGGTGTGACCTTGTTTTGCCTAGTGATGTTGACACGTGGGAAGTTCTAGACGTTATGATTTGATGCAAAAACTCTCTTTCGTATAACTTAGAACAAGAAAATTTTGTGCTTATTTTATTTTTCTAAATTTATTTGTCTAGCTAGAGTCACCCAAATTCCTATATGAGATTTCTTTTCATTACATATATACTAGACGAGTATCCGCGCGATGCGCGGATCTTTTTTTACAATATAATTTGTTAAAAAGTCTAGTTACAATTTATTTTATTATATATTTAAATTTTTTTTAAGGATGTTGTGTATTTGAATAAACATACAATATATAATTACATATTATGTGGTTATTAACTATATATATGATAAATGGTTTATTAATAAGGAAATATGAAATATGTTATACGTTGTATATATATAATATATTAAATAGATATACTGCAAATCAGAGAAGTACTATATAACAAAAATTAGTCAGAGAAACTCTTCAAGCACAACATAGGTAGAGACGACTCTTTTTAACAAATAGTATTTTTTCACGGCGCAGATTTACACAATAGAAACGTCGTCGTTTTATATTTGTATGAACTTAAATAATTGATTTATAATTGCATTAAAAATTTATAAATAATTATATTAGGACTTTGATATCTTATTAAAAAATTATTAATGGATCAAGTTTGAATAAAATAAATTATCATTTTGGTATCATGATTAATAATCCATTAAATTTATGCATTAATTGTATTTTATATAATTTATATCATTAAATTTAAAAAAGGACACATGTCATTTTTACAATAAACCAAAATGATGAGGTGTCACTCATATGGAGAGAGTTAGTCATCTTTTATAGTATAGACTAGGGATATTCCGCGCTACGCGCGGAGTTGGTGTTATATATTTTTTTGAATTTTTATAAATTATTATTTACTATTTTGTATTTTTAGATTTAAATTTTTCTGTATTTTTAGTTATAGGTGACTATTTGACCGCATGAGCATGAAAATTTATTTTTATTTAAAAATTGATCTATAACCTGGTTTATATAATTTTGTTTTATTTTTCAATTTTTTCAGTATTTAATTTAATCGGATTTGATAAGAAGAACTGAATCCATAAAAATCCATTTGTATTACAGTTTGGTTTCAGCTTGGGTATCCGTTTCTGTTTTGTTTGTTGTTTAAACATTGAGTTATTGACATTTTGTAATTCACTTTGGTAATGGTTTTGCTTATTGTTGTTTGATTGGGTTTATATTAATAATAAAATGATTTAATTTAATTTCAAATTAGATATACCGGCAAATTACATTGTAACATGTTATTATTCGAAACTATATAACTCTATATAGACAACCTAAACCTCTGACACTAAGAAGTAACAATGGTTTTTTCTTTTCTACCTCAGTCCAACAACTTATGGACACACTTAAGCTTAAGAGCAACGCAAAATAAAGTAACCAGCCACTTACGGTGGTCACTTTAATCCTCTAGACGGTATATATATATACTTCTGCATCTTCGAATTTCTTATAAATTTTGAGATGTAAGGAAAACTTAAACTTCAAACATGTTTGATCCTTGAGCATCTATTCTCTCAAATTCCTTGTTGAAGTTAAAAGCAGCTCAAGCATGTAAAGTTGTTCAGTTTGATAACATTTTGCCATGACTATCATCGACATAATGAGAATCATAGAAAAACATTCTCATAATGGCATAGTCTTTTCCTAACCCATACCAAAGTCGATAGTCACAAAGGCTTCATGTAAAACAGCTCGTCGATATGCATCAATGGCAGCAGGAATGTTCTTCATCTTGACGTGTTCTTGAAAAAAAGGTGATAACAATTGATGAGAGGATGAATATCCCAGGCACAAAATAAAAAGATATATATACTCAAATATACATGGTTATATCTAAACATTTCTTAGGGAGCTAACATGAGTGGGGGCTTGTTCGTGGAAGCAGGAGCAATAATAAGGAGTTAAGGACCGACGAATCCATTGATCAGGATACAAAGCATACACTTATAATTAAGAGCATCATATATATCGTCCTGATGCTTAAGAGCAAACTGAGTGATTTGAATTGTTGCTGCTGTGAAAGGTCACTGTTCCCCCCTTCATGTTTGATGACATAAAAGATGAGGTGTTTAAAAACCTGAAATCAATTATACAAACTCAATCTATTCAACCCAAATGATCTTGAGAAATCAGAGACAAAAACAGTGGACAATTTTAAACTCAATATTTGAATGCTTATACCACAATACTTTATGAACCATTGTTAATATAGTTGTACCTTAAGTAGATACCTAAATTTTGTGAAGGTTAAGGGTAAGAGTTGGTAGAGATGCCACTTTCAAATCCCCGAGCGTATCCTGGAGTTTGTCTGCGATTTCAAAATCTGAGACCTGCATTCATATTCATTCACCACAATCTAACATAAACCCATAAAATTATTCAAGTAAAGATGGTAGGTATTTGTGAGAGAACAATCGCACCTCCGATAGTGGTGGAATTTGTGACAGGCGTCTGTGACAGAAAAACTTATTAGATCTGAAGATGATGCGGAGGCCTTTTGTTTCTTTAACTGAATAGGAAAGAGATGGGAACGATGTAAGAACTAAAAAGGATAGAAACCCATAAAATTATTCAAGTAAAGATGGTAGGTATTTGTGAGAGAACAATCGCACCTCCGATAGTGGTGGAATTTGTGACAGGCGTCTGTGACAGAAAAACTTATTAGATCTGAAAATGATACGGAGGCCTTTTGTTTCTTTAACTGAATAGGAAAGAGATGGGAACGATGTAAGAACTAAAAAGGATAGAGAAAAGGTTTATAACGTCCGTAAATTTGTAACGTAACACACGTAGACACAGATTCTCCACTGTTATGGATTAATAAATCGGGAAAGATAAATCGATCTCATGATCGTGATAAAGATAAATGAATAACGTGGCATCATGCAAAACGAAGCGAACCATGCTTGATAATAGAAGGTGATGTGGTAACAATGTGAAGCATGAAAATGAATTTTTGGCTTATGACACGTGGCAATCTTAGAAGAAGGTTTTTTTTGCTGATGTGTATAGCTTAGGGAGTCTCAAACAACTTCTTTTATTTAGTATAGATATCGCTGATTTGTTAATGTAAAATGAAAATAGTCTAATTTGTGACCCTTGTCTTTTTCCAAACTAACGTGAAGTAAGCCAAAACAAAATTAGGTTATTATGTGGATCCGTTTTATGATGACACTCTTTGCATTCAAATATAGTTTCAGTATCGGCATTAGATAGCAGTGTTGACCTTAAAAATTTTCATTTAAAACTATTGGGCTAGTAACCTCAGCGTACATATGATAGAGATGGGCTTGGGCTGGTAACACATAGCCCAATAAAAACGTATATACAGTATATGTGTATTGGACATAGAAATCGATTATCATTTCGATTCACACAAAAGAATAAGATTGAGATCAAAGTTTGTTTACTCATAATTCTCGAGGTGGGTAGAAAGGAAGAGAGTGATTTGATTAGATGATTTTTCCTTTGATGTTATGCTCTTGGAAGAAAAGTGGAGTAAAAAAAGTCTCCCCCATCAATTCGTGTTTTTTAAGTTGCAAGTTCATACATCTTTGTTAATCTTCAAATCATATTGTACTTATTTGATTTTTTTTCAATAAAATAAACAGTCTAGCCCTTTAAGATATCAATGCGAATTCAAAGATCAAAAAGGCTCAAAGATTGCTGCTTTTAAAATTCTTAATTCTTAGCAGTCAATGTCAAATTTTGTTCTGCTTCTCTGTGTTGGTTATTACTCTTCTGATTTCACTCTGTTGGGAATTCAGGTACTTTGAAAAGAACAAGCTTTTTCTAATGGCTGCTTCAAGGTACGAGCTCCCATCTCAAGGTCTTTGTACATAAATGTCAGAGGCGAAGATATGGAGTTGAGCAAGTTTTGGCTCAGATATAACCTATGATCTCATCTACGCAAGTGCAGTCTTCCTCCACATGCCTCGTGTGGACTGGACTTGAAAGGGCTAGTGGAAAAGCTAAAGCGAGGAGACGAGTGTGCAAAGAAGCTAACAAGTTTAGGACTTGAGTATCTTTGGGAAACAACAAACATGTTAGAATCTCTGCAATATGAAGTACAATGATGGCTCTGTATATATCAGATGACTGCTATACTTTTGTTTTTGTGTTTGTGTTCAGACAGAGATGCATATATTGTTTACCATTTGTTTGTTTGACATTAGTTTCAAGCTCAACAAACATAAATAACATTCATAGGATAAAGGAAGGTCCAAAAGGATCACAGTTTCATTTCCTGCAACAAAAATCCATCTTCTAAAAGTGGTTACCATTTGTTTGTTTGACATTAGTTTAAAGTTAAACAAACATAAATAATAAGAACCAAACTACTTCGGCAGATTATAAGAACTAATATCACCAGACTCACGAGAACACCATCATCAATCTAAGATATATAGGATGGATTTACCAGAATCCTCACTGTCTTTTTCAGTTTCCTCAAGGAGTAGGTAGCTCGGGACAGCAGCAGGGTCTAGCTCGAAAGAACCAGCAGGAACTCCCTCCTTCTCTTCTCCGCTCAGTCTAACCGATGGCACTCTGTGAGAAAACCTATGCATTTCCACTGGTGCAGTCACAAAGACTCCATCTTTCTCATCACGTTCGAAGACTGATACGAATCCTCTAACCTTTCTGAGATAGGACACCCCAACGCCTAGGATTTCCACTAAGTCGTACCTATAAGGAGCCTTGTGATGTTCCTGGCTAGCTTTGCTCCAGTCTCTGAAAAGAGCCCAAGTTTCACCTTCTTTCGGATTCACAGTCACAAAGTTCCTGCCACGTACAACGTGTTGTAGCTCATGAGAGAACGTCAGGTGACTTAGGGTTTCTGTACTCCCGTACGTGAACCTCCCACAAGCAACGGGAACTGATTCTTCATCTCTGTATCTAAGCCATGTCACTTCAAGACTCAACCGAGACTTGAAAATTCTGTTGATCTTAGCGTAAAACCGAGGCATGTCATCTCTAGGATCATAGATGGCCCATATTTGACCAACCACGAAAGAGCTCATTGTCTTTTTGAAGTCATGGAACTCTGAATCAACAACATCTATTTGTCCAGGATCCTTGTCTGCACCATCTTGGCTCTGTGTTTTGCTCTTTTTTGCAGGACGAGTAAGAGAATCAGCTTCACATCCCTTTTCTGCCAACAACTTCACCCCGGATCTCTTACAAGTCTCGGCTTGTATTGCTTTCTGCTCCGTTTCTTCATAGATCTCCTCTTTCTTCTCCACTTCTGTCGTCTTCTCTTTGTCGGCTTCATCAAGTAGCCTAAGCTCCTTCTCCCTCGCTTCGAGTTGCTTAAGAAGAGATTCTTTCACCAGTTTAGCTTCTTTTCTCTTTCTCTCAATCAATTATTTTTGCTTCAGATCAAACTCCTTTACTCTCCTCTCTAACTCACTTGACTTCTCATCGTTCAACATAGAAAGCTTCTCAATCTCTTTTCTCCTCTCTTCAAGCTCGGCCATCTCTTCTTCCAATTCTCTCTGCTTCAGTTCAAGCTCTTTCTCCCTTTCTTCAAGTTTTTTTCCACTAACTTCAAGGATCTTGCTCTTCAATTCCATCTCCTCAGATTTTGCTTTCTGCTCCGCTTCAAAAATCAAAAGTAACGACCAGATCAGAAGACGGAATAATAAAAAAATCAAACGAACAAACAGAGATTCATGCGAAGAAATAAAAACACACAATCGGGGAGCTTCCAGAGAAAAAAAAAAAAAACCTTTTTGGAGACTGGTCTTCATTTTGTGCCGGCGCCGGATCCTTCTCCGACGTGTCTCCTACGGCAGATAGTGAAGATTCCGTTCTCATGGTGATTGTAATTTCTTCAGCAGCTGCTATAAGATCGGAGTTGTGAATGTTCTTCGAGAGAAAGAAACTGATAAGACTGAGAGAGTTTTGCTCTTTTTTCTTGTTCCGGTGGACTTAGTCTTGAAAAGAAGAAGAGTGGTGGTTTTTTACTTGAAATGGAGGGAGTCTCAAATGTTGTGTTTACATATTTCTGGATGTTTGTTTCACAGCCGTTAGATGAAATTATTTATATCCGTTGGATTAGCTTACGTCATATGCTCATCGATCGAAGTCGATGATGAGAAGCATCTTACACGTGTCTGTCTGTGAATGACCTTATCTAAAAAGCGCATTATATTGTTGGGCTTCAAAATGTTCGGGCCTTCGTTTACAACTTGTATCTTCTCATGTTATGTGTACAGATAAACGGGTCTGGACAGGGCTGACCCGTTTAAGCCCGTTGTCCGGGGAATTAATGGGTATCCGTTTAGCTTTTTTAAAGAAAAAAAATATCAATGATGTAAAACGGCGTCGGTTCAAAGTTTTATCGCCGATATCGTCTTCTTGAACTATGGTGATTTGCTAAACTTTTTTTCTTACCTTGTGCCGGTTTTAGCTTTCTTAGTTTCCATTTAGATGCTTAATCTTTAGGATATCCATGAAAGAACATGAATTGTTCAGTTTTTTGCTACTTCTCTGTTTCAAGATGTAATCGTATATTGCCTTCTGATTTTCTTTCTTCACCTTTTGCTAATCGGAATCAGGGGTTTGCTCTCTCTCTCTCTCGGAGGACGTCCTCGTTGACATCATAGCGCTTCCGGAGGACGTCCTCGTTGACATCATAGCGCGTGTACCGAGATGCGACTATCCAACACTCTCCCTCGTCTCGAAGCAGTTCCGATCACTCGTTCCTTCCCCCGAGCTACACGTCAGCCGATCTTTGTTAGGTTGCACCGAGCACTGTCTCTATGCTGTCCTCTATAACATAGTGCCCGGTGGTTAAGGTTGGTATCTTCTCAGCCGGAAAGCCAACGGCAGTAGACGCTTGGTCCTTGTCCCATGGCTTCTTGCTAACTGCATCACAAGCTTTGTCGCCGTGGGCTCCAAGATATATGGGTTTGGTAGACTTAGTTATCATAAAAGGCAACGGCAGGCAGCGTATGCCATAAGCATCGATTGTGGATCTCACACGGTGCAACCTCTCCCGAGCCATGTATACCCACGTATGATACAGTCGCTGACGTCATCGATGGGAGAATCTACCTAATTGGAAATATCGATTGCCATGACAGGAAGAAGGTGATGGTGGTGTTCAAAACAGAAACACAAAAGTGGGGGGAGCCTGCGATGATAGATCCAGGCATTGAACTAGGTGACACGTGGACTGCACGTGGACTGCTTGTGTGGTGATGGCTGGTAAGATGTACACGAGGGATTCCAATAACAGCTTTATTTTTTTCTCATTAGGAAAATAAATGGGAAAGAGACGAGGTGCTGAATTTACACGAGTGGGAGAATGCGTGTGTCCTCGATGATGTATTGTACTACTTTGATTGTGATGAGAAGAGTATAAGAAAGTATGATCCAAAGCAGAGGTGCTGGGGAGTGGTAAATGGTTTGGATGAATTCTTGGCTGAGACAATACCTGCAGGTTGGTCAGAGACTACGAGTTACGGTAGGAGGCTGGCTTTGTTTTTCTCAAAACCTTGGACAATAGGTGAGATCTGGAGTGTGGAGGTTTCGCTGGAAAGACGACAAGGAGGAGAGATTTGGGGTCAAGTTGAGTGGTGCGATCTTGTTTTCACTGGGGATTATGTCTCGATGAAACCTCTAGCTGTTACGGTTTGATGCAAGATTTCTCCTTCAACTTGTGATTTGTTTTTTACTTTAGGGATGAAAGAATTAGGCTCTTGCTCAAGAATATTTTATTGGTCTTTGGATTCAATTTTAATCTCTGATACTGATTTATACCAATATGCTGTGTAGTTGAGAATCACATGCCCAAAGATACAAAAATTGAGAAAACTGAATGAATCTGATTCTTGTACGGAAAACAAATTTTTATTCTTGACATGCAAGTTTGCAACATCTTCTACGTGGCTTTCAAGAATAAATAGAAAAAGTGTGATATGATTAAAAATTAGCTAATATTGAATCAATTCAGTTTTTGTTGTAAAAAGAGAATTACTCGATGACTATATACTTGTTCATCGATGAGTTTAGCAAAGAATAGGATTGTGTTTCCAAGACTCCTTCTACGACGTGTCTTTTACGGTAGATAGTGGAGATTCCGTTCTCATGGTCATTTTTTACTAGAAATGGAGGGGGGCTCAAAGTTGTGTTTACGTATTTCTGGTTATTTGTTTCACAACCGTTATATGAAATTATTTATATCCGTCGGATTAGCTAAATTTGTAGCCGTTAGATTTCATCGATGATGAGAAGCATCTTACACGTGTCTGTCTGTGTGAATGGACCTTATCTATAAAGCGCAATATATTGTTGGGCTCTAAAATGTTATAAAGAGAGATGTTTGCATGTTAATTGTTTTGGGTCTCTTGAGTTTGCTCAAATTTAGCTGAAAGTGTTGATCTATCAAGTATATGGTTTATTGGTTTACTGCTATGGATATATATGAGTTCTGCATAAGTTGGTTGTTGCTTATGATATTCGTTTTCTGATAGTGTTGCCGAAGTTAGCTTTTGTGTCTCGGATTAATCCATAAGGTTATATTCATCTTGTTGATGCAAATTCAGTCACTTATGATACTGAAGATGGTTGGTGGTGCAAAAGATGAGACTATGATTCAAGTCTTTGTGACTACGATGGTATAGTTGATTCTTTTTGGTTTCATTATGTCTCTAGGGCAAGATACGGTTAACTCTGATTATAATGTCAGGAAGTAAGAATGCCTGCTGGTGGTGGAAAGGGAAACAGTCGAACTCAATTTCTTCCGAAATGCTTGTGTTGTGGTTTTCTCGGACACAGTCGAGCTCGATCTCTTCCGAAACAGCTTTGTGAAGGACGGGTTAGTGAGTGACACCAATGCTGCCTCTGTACTCCTCAGTGTAGTGATGGTTTGATTCATTCATTCCTCTGTTTTCTTCTGTAGTTATAAGGTTGCTGTTGCAATGCCCAGTCTCGATGAGTTGCTGAAGGACACTCCTACTCACGTATTTGCTTCTGTATGGTTCGATTGGAGAAAGACAAAGCTGTATGGTTCGGCTTGCTGCCCTTTATAAGTAAAATCTTGATCACTCTCTAAATCTTTCTTAACTAATTGAGCAGTCTCTTATCGCTTTGTAATTGCATTTTTTATGCAGATATGGCAGGATTTACCTCGATTCTGATGTGATAGTTTTGGGTTCTTTGTCCTCACTGAAAAACACTCTCGGTGTGGTGAATCACTGAACGGTGCAGTTATGTCCTTCGAAAAGAAAAGGTTTCATTAAACACAAATCAATGCTTTTCTCTACATTAGAAAGTCGATACAACGATCTTTGTCTTCAGTAGCCTCCGATGTTTATGTCTAATGTTTTGACTTTTAAACCTCTCTCTGCAGCTCATTCTTGCTTGAATGTTTGAATGAGTACTACTTGACATACGATGACAAGTGTGTGCGATGCAATGGAGCTGATCTCTTGACTCGGTTGGCTAAACGGTTTATAAACGGGAAGAATCGGCGTATGGCTCAACAAGAGCTGAACATTCGACCGTTCTCTGTTTTCTTCCCAATCAGCTCACAACAGATTACGAGGTAAAGCGCTCTCTACTAGTTTCTGTCAAATACTTCATCGTTTTGAACTACAAGTTTCATGATTGAGCAAAGCTTTTAACTTTCAACTTGTGTTGTTGATTTTGGTGCAGCAGCTATTTTGCATATCCTGCAACAGTGGATGAGAAATCGCAGCAAGAGGAATTGTTCAAGAAAATCATCAATGAGTCATTAACGTTCCATTTCTGGAACAACGTAACTTCATCTCTGATCCCTGAACCAGAGATCCCCGTGGCTAGATTTTCTATAATGTTAAGACAATTTGTAAAAAAAAAAATTCATTTTTAGTTATTAAGAACTCCATCAAAAAATTGTCTATTGTATGTCTCAAAATTTAAAAAATTCGAATGAGACTTTTAACTTAAATTAATAATCTATATATAATAACAAACTAAAAAAATACCAATTGCACTTTGAAAAATTGTGTCTTTTCAAAATTTATGGTTGCATCTTTTCATTATAAATAGTTGCATCTTTTCACAATAAATGGTTGTGTTTTTTCATCAACTATAATTGGTATCTTTTCAAAACTATTTATATTGCTCAGAACCACAGAAAAAAATTATTTGAATATAACTTTTACTTTCTTACTATAGTGAATTTTTTTATCGTAAACTTATTTATTTATCATAACATTTTATCAGGATACAAAATGTTTAAAAGTCCTGAAAGTTCATATATTGAATTTGAGTAAAACAATTTAATTTGGAAGTCCAATTTTGGCTAAATATGAGCAGTTTTAATACAAGATTGTTTTACATGCATTATATCAGAAAATAAAAATTATTTAACCAAAATCTAATATTTTATTATAAATAAATTTTATGTGTTTTGTTTACTAATATATATTATGTTATTTTATTTTTTGTTAACAATCCGAATAAATGTCATTTACACTTTAAAAAGTTATGTCGTTTCAAAATTTGTGGTTGCGTCTTTTCATTATAAATGGTTGCATCTTTTCATTATAAATGGTTGCGTTTTTTCATCACAACTGTTATTAGTGTTTTTTAAAACTATTTATATTGCTCAAAACCACAGAATAAAAATCATTTGGGTCTAACTTTTACTTTTTTATTATGGTAGGTTTTTTTGTTATAAACAATCCGAATAAATGCCACTTACACTTTAAAAAGTTGTGTTGTTTCAAAATTTGTGGTTGTGTCTTTTTATTATAAATGATTGCATCTTTTCATTATAAATGGTTCTGTTTTATCATCACAACTGTTATTTGTGTTTTTTCAAAATTATTTATATTGCTCAAAACCACAGAAAAAAAAAATTATTTGGATCTAACTTTTACTTTCTTACTATAGTAGAGTTTTTTTGTCATGAAATCATTTATTTATCATAACATATTATCATGATACAAAGTGTTTAAAAGTCATGGAGGTATAAATATTGGATTTGAGTAAAAAATTCCATTCAGGGGTCTAATTTTGGCTAAAATATGATAAGTTTCATTACAAGCTTATTTTACATGCATTACATCAGAAAATAAAATTTATTCAACCAAAAGCTAATGATATTTTTATTATAAAGAAATTATATGTATTTTGTTTACTAATATATATTATGTTATTTAATTTTTTGTTAACAATCCGAATAAATGTCATTTACACTTTAAAAATTTGTGTCGTTTCAAAATTTGTGGTTGCATCTTTTCATTATAAATGGTTGCATCTTTTTATTATAAATGGTTGTGTTTTTTCATCACAACTGTTATTGTATCTTTTTTAAACTATTTATATTGCTCAAAACCACAAAAAAAAAATCATTTGGGTCTAACTTTTACTTTCTTACTATGGTGGGTTTTTTTTGTCGTAAACATATTTATTTATCATAACATGTTATCATGATATAAAGTGTTTAAAAGTCCTAGAGGTTCAAATATTAAATCTGAGTGAAAAATTCTATTTGAGAGTTCAGTTTTGGCTAAAATATGAGCAGTTTCATTACAAGATTGTTTTATATGCATTACATCAGAAAAATAAAATTTATTCAACCAAAATATAATGATATTTTTATTATAAAGAAATTATATGTATTTTGTTTACTAATATATATTATGCTATTTTTTTTATGAAAAACATCTATATATTTATAGTTAGTTGTGTTATTTTCAAATTTTAATATTTTTTGTTAGTTGTTTATTAATTTAAAGTACCTAATATTTGAATTCTTTTTTCTAAATTCAGAGAAATATATTTATGTAATGTAACAAATTCACATATATTTATATATGTATTTTTAAGGTATCAAAGTTTTTTTATTTTAACTAATATATATGTAATATACTTTTTAATATTTTGAATTTTTTTTAGAAACTATAGTAGTCTTAGAAAATGTATTATAAAATCTCGTTACATCATTTTTTATTATATATATTTTTGTAGTATTTTTAATTTTTAGCATAATTCTTTGTTTCTAACTTTTCAATAATAAATGTATAGTTTTATAAACTTTTTTTGAAAGATCGCCTTTAAATTTATTTTTTACTTTGCACTTTTGCACGGATACAAATTTTTTAATAATTATACAAATAGAGAATCTCATATTTATACAATATATTTATATATAACTTTTTTTTAACAATCTTAAAAAGTTGTGTATCTTATTACTTTTCAGTTTTTTATTTTTTCTATTAATAATAATAATAAAAATCCTAGAAAATTTTGTAAAAATTTATATAGTTTTATCATAATTAATTTGTATATTTTCATTTAGAACTTATTATTAATAATTAAAACATGAAAATACTTTTTTCTTTTAATAATTATAAATTATTTTGAATGTTTACATTTTTATTATATATATTTTTCTTATAATTATTTCAAATAAATTTATGTTTAATCTTAACTCCCGCTTAGCAGGGGTCCTATTTCCTAGTATATTTAATAACAAAATATACTTAAGAATCCCAACATATAATAGGGTTCAGACTCTCTCAACTGCGACACGACGCCGTCGAATCGATTAATCCTAGGGTTTTATTGTCCGTGAAGCTCTTAGAAGACTACTACGCATGTCATCGTCTCATAATTAACTTGATTCTGTCTGTGTGCAGCTAATTGGATTCTCGGTTCCTAGAAGAGTTACCTTCAAATCTGGTTTGAGTTTTCTCTTCTCTCTCTATCAAAGTTTTGGGATATCAGTTTTTGTTGAAATTGTGAGACTTTAGATTCTCATTTGCGTTTCATTCCGTGGCTATGTTCTTCTATTGACTATGTTTGTTTGATGAAATTGATATTTGCCTTACTCATTTGTTTTCTTCACCTTTTTGTTAATCGGGATCAGGGGTTTGCTCTCTCTCTCTTTCTCTAGGTGAATGTTGAGTTAAGCATACAATTATGGTTTTACACTTGGTCGCCAAAATCTACAGAATAATATCTTCCACAATCAGAGCAGAGGAGGAGAAATCGTCGGAATGGTTATCTCTGATTTCGTCGCTTCCGGAGGACGTCCTCGTTGACATCATAGCGCGTGTACCGAGATGCGACTATCCAACACTCTCCCTCGTCTCGAAGCAGTTCCGATCACTCGTTGCGTCTCCTGGGCTATACGTGAGTCGATCACTGCTAGGTTGCACCGAGCACTATCTCTATGTTGTCCTCTATAACAGAGTACCCGGTGGTGAAGGCTGGTACCTTCTCAGCCGGAAAGCCAACGGCAATAGACGCTTGGTCCTTATCCCATGGCTTCCTGCTAACTGCATCACAAGCTTTGTCGCCGTGGGCTCCAAGATATATGGGTTTGGTAGACTTAGTTATCATAAAAAGCAACGGCAGGCAGCGTATGCCTTAAGCATCGATTGTGGATCTCACACGGTGCAACCTATCCCGAGCATGCGTATACCCTTGTATGACACAGTCGCTGACATCATCGACGGGAGAATCTACGTAGTTGGAAATTTCGGTTACCATCACAGGATGAAGGTGATGGTGGTGTTCAATACAGAAACACAAAGGTGGGGGGAGCCTGCGATGATAGATCCAGGCATTGAGCTAGGTGACACGTGGACTGCTTGTGTGGTGATGGCTGGTAAGATGTACACGAGGGATTCCAATAACAGCTTTGTTTACGAGCCAAAGGAAGATGAATGGGAAAGAGACGAGATGCTGAATTTAAAGAAGTGGGTGAACGCGTGTGTCGTCGATGACGTATTGTACTACTTCGATAGGGCTGAGAACATCATAAAAACGTATGATCCAAAGCAGAGATATTGGGGAGTGGTGAAAGGTGTGGATGAATTGTTGGCTAAGACGAGACTTGCATGGTGGTCAAAGACTACGAGTTACGGTGGGAGGCTGGCTTTGTTTTTTTCAAAACCAAGGAGAATAGCTGAGATCTGGTGTGTGGAGATTTCGCTGGAAAGACGTCAAGGAGGAGAGATTTGGGGTCAAGTTGAGTGGTGTGATCTTGTTTTCACTGGGGATTTTGTCTCGATGAAACCTCTAGCGGTTACGGTTTGATGCAAAAACTCTTCCGTCATTATAACTTGTGTTTTGCTTTTTTACTTTAGCTCAAGATCTCTCCTTCATATGACTTGTGATTTGTTTTTACTTTGGGGATCAAGATCATGTTGTTTCTTTTTTTTTTCTTTTTCTTTTTACTTTTGGGGATCATGTTGTTTCTTTTTTTGTTTTTTCTTTTTCTCTTATAAATTTTACTTTTTCCTTATATCTTTTGTAATTATTTTCTCTATTTTATTAATGAACTAAAAATGTAAAGTTTATAAGAGAAAAAGAAAAAAGGAACAAAAAAAAAATATAGGATCCACTCCAACGCCAAAGTAAAATTTGAGGAATCTGAAATCTTAACTATTATTTGACAAGCATGTCTAATGAAAATATCTGATGTGTCATCATCTTAGCAAAAGTTAGTGTAAATTAATTGTGACATGGAATTGTGACATGGAAATGTGATATGGCAAATTTCCTAAAATAAATGAAATATTTTGATTGGTTAAGTTATAATTAAATAAATTATAAAATAAATACACTAGACTATAACACTAAAATAATAAATTTAAATAAAAAGAAAATAATAATTACTATGATTCTAACTTTGTTTTTACATATATTCATAATATATTGCATAAAATATGATTACAAAAATTTTACAATAAATATATCATTTATAATTTCAAATAGAAAAATAATAATCGATTATCCAATAAGATAGTATATACGCTATATATTAATAATGTTGGGAGTATGATATTTCATTATTTGTATATAATTTTTTGACATTTTTATATTATTGTTTTCTGGAATTTGCGTAGCTTAAATTACTATTTCATTTGATCTCTTATCCATTTTTATAAATAAATTAAAAGTTTATATCATACTCATATACAATCTCTTTGTAGATCGAGAATTTGAGATTAAAAATAAAACGCAATGTAACTGGATGAAAAAAATAAATTATAAATAAAAAAAAACAAATATGAATAAGAAGAAGTAGAAGTGAAAAAAAAAGATCTCTACAGTTTTTTCTTTTCGTAACACTTTCAAACTTTGTTTTACAGAGTCATTTAAAATCTTAAAATATAAATTTTATAATCAACGCATGTGTGGCTCAAATTTTATAATGAACACATGCCTGCAGACCAACCATAAGAATTTTTTTTTTTTCATCAAACCAATTTCTCAATATGGATAAAGAGATAAGCAGAGAGCTACCAGATAATTTTATAAAATATGATTTCACAAATTTTATAGCAAATATTTATTATAAATTTTATTTGATATAAATAAACATATGAAAAATAAGTAAAAGTAAAAATAAAAATGAATATTTACGACTTTGATTTTCTGTAAAAATTTCAGGCTATATATTTGGTTTAAAACATCTATAACACACCTTTATTTTGAATCTTTAAATTTAGAGAAAAAATAGCAATGTTATTTTTTCTCTATAATTGGAGGAAAAAGTATCAATCTTTCTTTTTTCATTAAAATAGAAATAGATTGGAGAGAAATCCACCTTTATTTTAGAGGAAAAAATAGAAAAATATATTGCAGATGTGCTTAATATTTGATATAGTATTGAAGGTTAAGAAAAAAAATATGAGTCAAAGAAGACAGAAAAAGAATAATTTTGATCGATTTTATATTTTTATTTTGAAATATTTAAAAATATCATCTTAGACATATTAATTCTTTCATGCATATATTTTTTCAACATCTTAAAATATTATTTCATGAATCAAGTTTTGTATGTGTTATGATCCATTATATATAAGATTAACACATATATCAAAGTTAGGAATAGAAAAACTTTTATTTTGTGATATAATAATTAAATATTAAATATATTATTTATACTTTCAACCATACACACATAAGTTCAGGATCCAGCTTGTTAAAACGCTGTAGTTACATAGAATTTGTGGAAATGAGGAATTGCGAGCTATAAAAAATTTGACAAAGAGGTGAGCAGAGAGCTACTGGAGAATTTTATAAAATAAGAATTCATAAATTTTATATAAATTTTTATTAGAATTTTGATTGATAAACCATATATCATAAAATGCTGAAATATAAAAGGTTTTGATTATATACAAAATGATAGAAATGGTTTTCGTAATTGTTGTTAAACGCCAAAAAACTGTGTTGTGTAAAATCATAACATTTGCAGAAAATATTAAAAAAAATAACCAAGACCTAAATATTATAATTCACTTATTTTTAACTCATACCTATATGCACAAATATACATATTTTTTTATAAAAAAAAATCAATCATACATTATAAAAATATATATTACAAAACATATATTTTGTTATTTTCTTTTAACACATAAAAGCCATACTTCGACTTTGTCATAAATATGCGTATAGATATTAATATTAATTATACAAAAATCAAAGTCGCATGCAAACTTATTATGCATACATTTTTTTAACCTCGATTACAGTCCAATTTTATTTTTAGTTATTAGTCAATTTGTATTACATAAAAAAATCTTTATATGTCCTAAGAGCGGTGACCAACCATCTGTCCGCTCTTAGGATAAGTAGTGATGGTAAAATCCATTTGGTTTACTTAGCAATAGGTCAAGAAAAAATGTATACTTAAAATATATATATATCGACAAGATTATATTGTGCAAGGGGAAAAAGAAATAGAATATAGATAATATTCAAAACATATTATAAAAATTTAATTATTATTTAATAGAACTTTTATTTTTGCAATTATATGTTACTCTAAATGTTAGAAAAAACAAAACAAGTTTTCAAAAGACACAAAACGGTATGAAGTGTTTGTGTGATTGTTGTTAATTACTAAAATTGTATATGTATAAAAACGTAACGCTTACATGATAAGTTTTCCAAAGACACAAAATGATATGAAATGTTTGTGTGATTGTTGTTAACTGCTAAAACTGTATATGTATAAAAACATAACGCTTACATATGTATAAGAAATTAATCAATACTTAAATATTACAACTAATTATGTCTATAAAAAAATATATTTGCACATGCGTGCGGACCAACCATACAAATTAAATAAATTAGTATACATTTTAATGTTTTCAGTTTATTTATTTATGATATTTATATTTTTTATCTAATGAAATATTTTAAAAATCTAGGTTAATTATTAAATATTTATATAATATTATTATTAATTCATAATTAATCATATACAAATAAAATATATTTAATATATAATATTGATCATATAAAATATTTTATAGTCTGCACACAGTGCGGGCCGATCACCTAGTAAAATTTATAAGAGAAAAAAGGAAAAAGTAAAGTTTATAAATACTCTGATTCTCCATATAAATTCTCAGATTCTCCCATAACTTGACGATTCGTATCTCCCCCCTCTTCTACTTGGAAACCCCATCTTTGCGGCATGGATTCTCTTCTTCCCAAATCAGACCTAAAAAATCGCTGCTAGTGGTCGAAGGTCCGACCGATTCTGGCACTGCCACTCTCGGCGACTCCTCCAAGCAGGGACTCGAGAGAGATTCGAGAAATCACTATGAGGCTGATGATAATAACTTGTCTTTCAAGAAATCTAGGACGATGCTTAACCCTAAAACTCGGAAGCTTTCTAAACAGTTTTGGAAAGCAGGAGATGACAAAGAAGATGAGCATGTACCTCACTATTGTAGCAATGGGGCGGCGGCGGTTAGGGTTCATCCTCAATATCTTCACGCCAATGCCACTAGCCACAAGTGGGCACTTGGAGCCTTGGCCGAACTTCTAGACAACTCTCTAGACGAGGTATGTAATGGGGCTACATATGTTCATGTTGACTCAACAACAAATGAAAAAGACCGGAAGAGCAGCATCCTCATAGTTGAAGACGATGGAGGTGGGATAAATCCGAATAGGTTTAGAGAGTGCCTTTCTTTGGGGTATTCAAGAAAACGCAGCATGGCTAATACATTAGGTCAATATGGGAATGGATTCAAAACCAGTATAATGAGGCTTGGTGCTGATGCAATTGTCTTCTCACGTTGCCATGGAAACAATCCGACACAGAGCGTTGGTATGTTATCATATACGTATCTCTACGAGACGAGAAAACGTGAAGTCGTTGTCCCCACGGTTGATTTTGAGTTGGTGGGTGACGAGTGGAAGCCGATAGCCTACAACTCCACAGACGAGTGGCTTGATAATGTTGATACTATAGAGAAGTGGTCTCCTTATTTATCCCAAGAAAATTTAATCAACCAGTTTGATTCACTCAAAGAGCAAAGTACTCGTGTCGTTGTTTATAATCTATGGGAATACGACTGAGAGGAAAGTGGAGCTTGATTTCGATACAGATCCTCATGATATTCAACTCAGAGGTGTAAACAGAGATGAGAAGATAGAGATACTCGAGGCATTTTCTAACTTAATCGACACTCGCTACGAAGTTATGCATCGATTCTGTACCTCAGGCTTCCGCAAAACTTCAGAATCATTCTTCGCGGGAAAGACCTCGAACATCACAGCTTACTAGACGACATGATGATGACCGATGACCTAACATACGGACCTGTGCGATCTCCACCAGTAGAAAACTTGGTTGCTACGCTAAAGATTGGGTTCGTGAAAGACGCTCATCATCACATGGACATACAAGGGTTCAACGTTTACCACAAGAACCGGCTCATCAAGCCATTTTGGAGGGTTTGGAATGCTGCTGGAAGCGATGGACGAGGTGTGATTGGTATTTTGGAAGCTAATTTCATACAACCAGCTGATAACAAGCAAGGCTTTGAGCGAACCGCTGTTCTTGCTAGACTTGAAAACCGACTCAACGCATATCAAAAGAACTATTGGTTTTCAAAGCGTCATGAGATTGGTTATGCTCCAAGGCGGAAGCAAAATAGCAATGAAAGCGTCACAGAAGCTACCCGACAGCCGGACCAGACTTGCAACCACATGAACCATGATAAGGGAACTTTGACTAATGCATCACCAGCTCGGTTCAGGCAAAATGTTGAATCATTTGCTGGAAACCGAAACTCCCATCAGGACAGACAATTTGACACCGGGATTAATAACCTGAAACATAGTGATAGGATACAAGAAGACACGTCTGCAGATAACGATGCTGAGGTGGCAATAAGGAGATCAAAAGGGCCACATAAGCCGAACCGGAAATATCTGTAGAGTTGAAGAAGTCAAGAAGCCAAGATCGAAGTTTATTTGTTTCCAGTTTATTAATAAGAGAACGATTCTTCCGCAATGTTCTCCACTTTTCCCGTTTCCTGCAATGTAAGAGTCGATGAATCCACTTTTCCTTTCATTTAAAGAAATGAAAAACAACTAAACAGATAGTCTTAACTACCGAACAATTCTCTTGAGTTCTAAGTTACAGTTCTTTTGCGATCAACATTGATAATCTCGTATTGAGAACCTATCACATAGGGTTGGGATAAGTTTAAATGAAATAAGATCAGTTAATCAAGTAGCTGAGTTGCAAGAAGAATCAGCAAAACATGTGGCTGAGTTGCTGAGACAGAAACAACTGCTTGCTGAGAATTCGCAGAAGGTAAAAGATGAATCAGCAAAACTGGTGGATGAGTTGCACCGCTTGAGTTGAGGTGAAGGATGAATCAGTGGTTGAGCTGCAGAAACAGAAAGAAGTGCTCGAGTCGCAACTCAAGGTGTCGAAGGCTAGGAACCAAGAGTTTGAGAGGTCACAGAAAGCAGTGATGGATATCTTTCAAGAAGAAAGAGCTCGCACAGATTGTAGCTTAATCTCTATTTTTACTTTATTCTTGATATTTTTTTCTTGTACGGGAAACAAATCTTATTCTTGACATTCAAGTTTACAACTTCTACGTGGGTTTCAAGGATATATAGAAAAAGTGTGATATGATTAAAATCAGCTAATATTGAACTTATTCAGTTTTAGAGTTGTAAAAAGCGAATTACTCGATGACTATACACTTGTTCATCGATGAGTTTAGCAAAGAAACGAGCCTTAGATCTCTCCTAAGGATACGGTTGTGTTTCCAAGTTTCGTCGATGTATTCAAGAATCACTTGAGAGTTGAGACTCGATAATGGTTTTACCATCGTGGACGAGAACAGGAGACCTTAACAACTATAGGTTATATTAAGACAAAAGTAGTTTCTATAATTTCAGTTTTCCCACAAGACTACAAGCCATTTAAGAGAGGATACATTTTATTACGCTTACAGTTAAGAAAACCCTTGAAAACGTCCATAAGTTTCCTTTGGGACCATCCCAGTAGCAGATACACCTTAAAAGTGTCATTATGCAACTTGCGAATTATAAAGATGATTTGCTTTTTTCTTTAGCTGTTATGGTTTGATTAAACATATAAATACCTTATGTCTTGTTTTCTCTTTAGCTGTTATGGTTTGATGCAAGAACTCTCCTTCATATGGACTTGTGATTTGTTTTTACTTTCGGGATGGCAGAATTCTCCTTTCGCTTAAGAATATATCATTGGTCTTTGGATTCAGTTTCAGTCTCTGACACTGATTTATACCAATCCATCTGAGGTAATTTTCATGGAACTGTGATTTAGCTACTTGTAATTAAATTGCTTACTTGGAAGAATTGATAAAACACTCTAACATAGTTTCGCACAAACAAAAAAAACTTTCACCATTCTCGTGCCATAATTGGAAGAAATGATAAAACACTCTAACATAAGTTTCTTAATTCTGGATTCTTGTGTCCAAAAAAAACGAAAAGAGTTGAAAACTTTGCATGCATCTGCGGAAGATAGTCAAGATGTAGGACCTACAGAGATGTTAAAGATGAACGCTCACATCAGTTCCACTCTCAAAGTCACGAGGAATCAAAAGTTAGCAATTACCAAATACTAGCGGAAAATAAGTCATTAAATCAGAGATATGATTTTGCTTCAAATATTTTTTTTCCTTTCGTCTAGATTAATTAAATCATAGGTAAATTTTGTTTTTGCTTTGATCATTTTGTATTTGTCCCAAAATTCTCCTTTTTCTTTCATTAATAAAATAGAGATAACAATCTACAAATTAAAATATATTTACAAAAGATAAAAGGAAGAATACAGAAAAGGCAAAAGGTAAAATGTATAAGAGAAAAAGGAAAAGGTAAAATATACTATAAGAGAAAAAGGAAAAGAATAAAAAGAACAAAACGGGATCGCGTTCTCGTTCTATATCTCTCTCTCGAATCCCCTCGTCGTCACCAAACCAAGCTTCTTCTTCTCATCTTCTGTTAGAAGGATAACTCTTGCCTGTTCTATAGTTAGAGGAATCTTATTCTTTCAATATGTTGAAGATTTAAAAATAGTATCAGGAAAGGGTCTCATTAAGCCAAAAACTGAGTCATTAGGTCGCCAGAGTCCCATAGTAGATCAGATTTGAGGGTTTGCTCTCTCGTTGATTGTTGATTTAATTAAGCCTACAATTAGGATTTTGCGCATGTCTTCCAAAACCAGGGCGAAAGACGATTGGTCCTTATCCCTTCGCTTCCCGCTGTGCCTTTATATGGAAGCTATGTCGCGGTGGGTTCGAGTATATATGTGTTCGGTAGGACTGAGGGTGCCTTCAGCATCGACAGTACATCTCACACAGTGCAGCCTCTCCCGAGCATGCCTATACACATGCATCGTACAGTGGCTGACATCATCGATGGGAGAATCTACGTAGCTGGAAATAGCTTTCATGATAATGTCCGGAAGAAGGTGATGGCGGTGTTCAATACCGAAACACAAAAGTGGGAGGAGCCTGTGATGATACAGCCAGACATTGACACGTGGTGTGGTTGTGTGGTTATGGGTGATAAGCTGTACTTGAGGAATAATCATAAAAACAGCTTTGTTTACGAGCCAAAGGAAGATGAATGGGAAAGAGACGAGATGCTGAATTTAAAGAAGTGGGAGCATGCGTGTTTGGTTGATGATGTATTGTACTACTTTGATAGGGCTGAGAAAAGTTTAAGAGCGTATGATCCAAAGCAGAGATGTTGGGGAGTGATGAATGCTTTGGAAGATTTGTTGGTTAAGATGGAAGAGTGGCCAGACATTGAAATTGTGAGTTACGGTGGGAGACTGACTTTGTTTTTTGACCTAAAAGAAAAAAGAAAAATAAGACAGACTTGGTGTGCCGAGATTTCGCTGGAAAGACGTCAAGGAGGAGAGGTTTGGGGTCAAGTTGAGTGGTATGATCATGTTTTGACTGGTGATTTTATAGTGGAGAAACCTTTAGCGGTTACCGTTTGATGCAAAAACTCTCCTTCATACAACTTGTGTTTTGCTTTTTCATCATCCTTTCTTTTGCTGATGATTTCCTTTATGTAAATGAAATTATCTGATTTTGAGGAAAAGTTATAGTTTATTTTGAACAAAAGATTGACTTTTCAGACAAGATTACAAGACATTTAAGAGAAAAAGGAGATTTTTTACGCTTACAGTTAAGAACCCATTGAGTTACGGTTTGATGCAGGAAATCTTCATAAATTGTGGTTTTTTTTTTTTTTTTCCTAAATTCATTTCGCTGATTTTGTTAATGTAATGTAAATGAAAATAGTAGAATATGTGATCCTTTTCTTTTCAAACCAAACTCAAAGTAAACTGGGCTTGTGCGAAACCCACACATGTAATAATTATTACGAACAATAAAATCCGGTAATAATTTGGATCCGTTAATCTTTGATGACAGTCTCTCTGCGTATGTGCCGAACCCATACATGTAATCTTGCAGTCAAAAATAGTTTCAGTATCGCCATTAATTAGCAGATATATTTTTCGTTGACCTTTTGCTCTTTTCGTTACTCTTTAAAAGTCGGCTACTCTTTACGCTGGGAATCTGGTTTTGTTTTTTTTCTAAAGGTGAAAGAAAGAATTTGAGAAGAACACGTGAGATTTGGTGTGCAGAAATTTCGCTGTAAATACGCCAAGGAGAAGATTTTTTAGTGGCGGTGTGTGTATGTTTTGGCTGTGAAATTTTTCTTGATGAAACCTTGTGGTTTGAATGCAAAAACTCTTCTTCATATAAGCTGTGTGATATTAAGGACGAAAGATTTTGGTAAAAGTTGAATGGTGTGATTTTTTTTGAAACAAATTAAATTTTGATTTAGGGAAAAACAAAAACCAAATGTATATGTACGTCAAAGTCTTAGCAAAATTATATTTCTTTAAATCAAATGTATATATACGTAAAAGTTGGATAATTCGATAGGTGTCATTATTATTATTTTACCTAATAGTTTTTTAAAATTTATAAATAAAAATAGGATAAACTATACATTATATATTAAATTTTCTTATATAAACAAAAATTTCTATAAATATATATAATTTTTAATAATTTTAAAGATTGTAGCTAAAACAAATAAACCAAAATATTAATACAAACTAACGCGTAGCACGAGTTATAAAGCTAGTATATATAAGAGAAGAGATGTAAATACAGACACCAAAGTCCTAATCTCTTCAATCTAATAATGTAAAGTTTACTTTAACTTAAAAAGGAAATACTTAGAACTAAAGCTAAAATAGTAAAAGGGATGCTACATCAGATCACCCGGGGTAAGAAAAAATTTGTCCACAAATTTGTGTCGTTATTATCGCCCAGGTATGAAACTAGATGCTTCACGTTAAAGACATCTGCAGTGTGCGGGGGAAGACGAAGTCTACAGGCATTGTTATTTATCTTCTCGATGACTTCGAGTGGACCAATCTTTCATGATTTCAATTTGTTATACTCTCCGAGTGGAAAACAGTCTTTTGTTAACAATGCCCAAACAAAATCACCAACTGCAAATTGAATATCACGCCGGTGTTATCAACCGCTGCTTTATACTTGACTGAAGATCTTTCAAGGTTATCATTCACCATTTGATGAAAAAATAAGGCATCTTCAACCATATCATAAGCACGAGCATGAAAGCGTGTCCAATCAGGTGCAATGTTTAAGTCGACAGGACCACGAGGGTGCAGACCATAAATCACCTAGAAGGGGCTAAAACGTGTACTACGATTTACGGCATGATTATAAGCAAATTCAGCCTGACAAAGTACCTTATCCCACGTCTTGATGTTATCTTCAACCAAACAATGAAGAAGATCACCTAAAGCATGGTTGGTTACTTCTGTTTGACCATCAGTTTGAGGGTGATATGTAGAGTTCATGTCCAAACTAGTACGCAACCGCTTCCACAATGAACGCCAAAAATGACTTAAAAACCTGGAATCACGATCAGATACAATAGAGAGGGGAAGACCATGAAGTCTATATATCTCACGAAAGAAGAGAGCTGCAACTTGCGAGGCATCAATGGTCTTCTTGCAATCAATAAAATGTGTCATCTTGGAAAAGCGATCAACCACTACAAATATAAAACAATTACCGTGTTGTGTTTGTGGTAATCCTAGCATAAAATCCATGCTTAAATCTGTCCACAGTTGAGTCGGAATGGGTAATGGCATGTAGAGACCCGCATTGTTGGCATGACCTTTATACTTTTGACAAACGCTGCAACGCAATACAAACCGCTCGACATCACGCCTTAAGGATGGCCAATAGTAAGAGGACGTCACGAGCTGAAGGGTACGATCACTGCCAACATGACCTTCTCCATGTAACTGTTATCAGTTGAAGACGGAGGCTACAATCAGGAATGCATAGTATGTTACCTCGAAACAAAAATCCATTAAGCATCAGATGATCAGAACATAAGCCATTGCTCGCCTCATCCCAAATCTTGCCAAATAATGCATCAACGGGAAACAAATCAGACAAAATGTCAAAACCCATAACCGAAACATGTAAGGTGGAGAGGAGTGTGTGTCGACAACTTAATGCATCCACCACCTTGTTAAGCGTTCCTGCCTTGTGCTTAATCACAAAGGTAAATTGTTGAAGATATAAAAACCAAGCAGCATGTCATGAAGACACCTTCTCTTGGGAGCCCATATGCTTTAAAGCATCATGATCGGTATAGAGAACAAAATTTTGGTGAAAGAGATAATGTCGCCAATTTTTAATCGCTTGGACCATAACATACAATTCGACATCATACGTACTGTAGCGACCCCGTGAACCAGCAATCTTTTCGCTAAAGAATGCAACAAGTCGACCAGACTGACTTAGAACTGCGCCAATGCCTAATTTGGAGGCGTCACAATGAAGCTCAAAGGCAACCTGGAAGTTTGGTAAGACAAGAACAGGCGCTGAGAGAGTTTGACTTTAATAAGTTGAAACGCTCTTTCTGCATCCTCAGTCCAAACAAACGGAGCAGCCTTAATACAATCAGTAATAGGCGACATGATGCTGCTAAATTACGGCACGAACCGTCGATAAAACGAAGCTAACCCATGGAAACAGCGTACATCTGTAATCGTGTGTGGTGTTGGCCATGACTGGATTGCTGCAACCTTCTCCTGATCAACCTGTAAGCCACGTGCAGACACAATATAGCCCAGAAACACACTTGAGAGACACCAAAAGCACACTTCTTTGTCGCAGCAAACAACTTCTCATGATGAAGAACAGCCAAAACCTCACGCAAGTGACCAAGGTGCTCGTCTAAAGAAGAGCTGAAGGTTAAGATGTAGTCAAAATACACCACTACAAAGCGTCCAATAAAAGGGTGGAGTGCTTGATTCATAACGCGCATGAAAGTGCTAGGTGCATTTGATAATCCAAAAGGCATGACCAACCATTCGAATAAGCCCTCCCGAGTCTTGAAAGCTGTTTTCCACTCATCACTGGGGCGAATACGGATCTGATGATAGCCACTCTTTAAATCCAATTTAGTAAACACTGATGCAGTCCCAATCTGATCAAGAAGATCATCAAGGCATGGAATGGGAAAGTGATACCGTATGGTGATTTTCTTAATAGCTCGACTATCAACACACATACACCAAGTCCCACCTTTCTTTGGTATGAGGAGAGCAGGGACCGCCGATGGATTTAAGCTCTCACGTAGATAGCCTTTGACAAATAAATCTTCCACTTGACGTCGTAATTCATCAAGCTCTTGAGGACTTATGTGGTAGTGAGGTCTGTTCAGAAGCGCTGCATTAGGAACCAAATCAATGTAATGCTGAAGATCGCGAAGAGGAGGAAGACCCGCAGGCAACTCATCAGGAAATATATCAGAAAACTCCTCTAAAAGCTTGAAACTCAACAGGTGAGTTGGTGACTAATGAAGAGGAAACAAGGCTGAGACGCAATGCAAAGACGACTTTCTCAGACTTAACTTCTGACATAAATGCTACTTTGGACAAGAATAACACCAACTTTTCTGGAGAAGTCTGCATCGGCGGGGTCACAACATCGCTGCTAGATATGACTGGATCCGTAGCCTCTTTCGTGGGAAGGAGGGTCATATGTTTGCCTTCAAAAGTAAACGTATATGTGTTGGTGAAACCAACATGTGAAGTGCGCCTATCCTATTGCCAAGGTCTGCTGAGAAGGATATGACAAGCATCCATTGGAATCACGTTGTAACACAGGAAGTCTTTGTAGCTTGTACCAATGGAGAAAAGGACACGACACCTTCGGGAAATTTGGAGCTCTGTTTGAATGTTGAGCCAAGCAAGCCTATACGGTGCTGGGTGAGGCTCCGTAAACAAAGCTAAGTTTGAAACCGCCTCTTCGAAAATAATGTTTGTGCAATTACCAGAATCTATAATAAGTCGACAAACTTTGCCGCGAATTGTGCAAGTACTCCAAAAAATATTCGCTCGTAACCAACTTTCTTCTACACCACGCAGTACGAAACAATTACGACGCAAGACTAGGGTTGTGCCAACGTCACCAGCAACTTGTTCTGTAGAATCTTCGGGCTCTGCTTCGTCTTGGTAGTCGTCATAGACTACTTCCTCAACACAAAAAAACATATTTGGGACATGTTGATTATCGATGCCCTGTTCACCAC